TGAATCTTTTAGAAACTAACAACACTGTGGGTTGAATTCCAGCTGGAGTTTGATTGCCGGCAGGGTCAAGAAATTTTTCTCCACTCCCCAGCGTCCAGACCGGCGCTGGAGCCCACTCAGCCTCCTATCCAATGAGTACAGTGGTCTCTTTCCAAGGGTTAAAGCGGCCGGGGCGTGAAGCTGATCACTCACCTCCATATAGTGCCGAGGTTAAATCGTGGAGCTACACCTCAACCCATTTATGTGTCTTCATAGCGTGGTGTTTAATTAATTAAGTGGGTTGTATCCGTCTGGTTCAGTGCAGGGAATAAAGGCAGACTCTCGTGAACGTAGCAATAAACATGAAAGAAAATAGGCGCCATTGTAAGGTCTTGCTGCAACATGCTTCTGCATCTTTGGATAGCCCTGCTGCTATAGAAGCTGTAGAAAGTGAACGTGACAGAGGAGCGGTTATGGTAAGAAGATTTATGTAGGAACCGCCGTAGATTTCGTGTCACGTTTAGAGGCATGGCGCTATAATGCGAACCGCCTGTCCCCGGCACTCGTTCAGTTTCAGTGCATTGAATATATAGCCATATTGCGTACAGTACAAGACGTCCATAAACGAAACACTCGTAAGTTACTATGACAAAGTACAAACTCAGGCCTATGTGAAAACAATACAAACAGAATTGAACTTTATTTTTCTCGTCCCCGTAGATTAGGGATTCTTGATGCATAGTCCGGATTCAGAACTGTCTTTCCAGCGCCTCTGTCTTCCTTCTTCCTTCCTAATATCATGCCCCCATCTACACCCAAATGATTTCTTCCATTCATCTCTCAGACTAACATTTCGTATAAGCGGCCTCTGTAGTCTAGGGGTAACGTTCCCCCCTCGTGACTCAAGGTACGCGAGTTCAAACCCGGCGGAGGTCGTGGAATTTTTAAGGGCGGAAAAATTCAGGGAACAAGTCCTCCGGGAGGGACTTTAAGCCGTGGGTCGCGTGTCGTAGCTTTACGGCACGTAAAAGAACCTCATGTCCCAAGGGGACCTCTGAGCGAAATTCAGGACATTTCCCGCCCAACAGTAGCCTCTAACGCCTCTGGTAGATGGGGGAAGCATCGAGACACCATTGAGCCAGTAGAGGCCGAATTCGCTGGCTGAGTCGGGACTGATGGCACGCACCAGTACCGGTAGGGAATAGAGACTGGTAGAATATCACAGGGGGACGCACAATGGACCAATATCTGGTCTAAGTGCATGGGGAAACCCACCTTCTCCAATAACAATAACAAAAACAACAACAACATTTCGTATAGCTCCATATTATCGCTCCCATACGTGTTACACGTTTCACCCATCTCATTTAGTTTGATTTGATCATCCTCATAATATCTGGTGAAGAGATCAAATTGCAAAGCTCTTCTCCCGCCTCCTTTTACATCTCCTAGGTCAAAATATTCTCCTTTTACTTTGTTTCAAACACGTTTAATCTATTTTCTTCCCTTTGCAGTTAGAAGACTTTGAAAAATAAATGTTGACACAGGTGACCATAATGATGTTTTGCTATCCTTTCCAGATTAGTTAAAACAGAGAGAGTTCCTGTAACAAAAGAAACAGTCCTACTTAACGGGACTTGAAATGTGTTTGTTTGTTTGTTTATATTTAGCTGTTTCATACGGCAATCAGTTAAAGCTGTGTTGCGTTCTTCCATCCCAACAGCGCTTGTTGTTTCAAATATTTACAACGCAGCTGATATGGCCATTACCTTTATTATGAGCGTGGCACATGAACACAATATCATAGTAATGAGACTTCAGTTTCCTTGCCGAACACAATTCAAATGGCATTTATCCAAGACAGTAGAAAATCTCCGCTCGAGTGAAAGTATAGTAGCCAGTGTTTCTTCGTAGCCGGTTCTCTGCTATAACTAAAACAGGAAGGTCAGACGCCTGCACTCACAGTAGGATGATCGCAAGGGCCATATTAATATTACAGAGTATAGGGTATGATCCATAAATGTACCAAGCCAAGGGCGAGATCACGTTATTATCTCAGACGCAGTTGATAAAATGAACGTCTTAATGGCTGCCCATCCATCCACATGTTTCTTCTCCGAAAATGCTAAAACGAGTTCCGATTAAATTTGGTATTAGGGGTCTACACGCAGATATTGTCGGGCTACTTGAATTTTTATCGGTTTATATTCCATAGGTCTATAATATGAAAGAAAATAATGTTTTATGATTTAAAATGCAGAACTCCTTAGGATCCCAGGCTCTTATTTTTAACATTTTTTCGACATGGAAAAATACAAGAGGGGTTAATCTCTGTGTTCAGTGTGATTCTTATATCACATGACTGGCTTCGCAGCAACAAATTTACTTCTGTAATAAACGTCCATAGAGACAAATTAAGTACATAAAAATTGTAAAGAACGTAAATGGAAAATATAGTACCACATCCGAAATGAAAAGGAAAGGAATGCTTTTTGAGTTCATTCATTGTGGCCTGAAGGCGAGATAAATTCCTCGCTTGCTCCCACGTGTGACGGAATTACTTTGCACTATGCAATAAACGTCTGACTCCGTCCCTTAACCTGCAGGTCACAGTTACATTATATATACAATCCTTTTCTGCCCCTCTCCGTCTTAACCTTGTTGCCAGGCGACCACAGAAAGATTTCATAGTTAAGTAATCTATGCCCAGCTTTGCTGCTAGGTAACTCTTTTATTTCATAAAACGACCTTTCTGCACGACGTAAATATATATTCGTAATAATAATAAATATACAAACAAACAAACAAACAAACTCCGTGGTTTTAGTCCGCAAGCGAACTACACCGACAGAGCGACCGCCGCTTGTCGGCGAAGTTATAATATACAATTACACTATTTCAGTACAATGTAATTTAACATAGTTGTTAGTCATTCTTGAAGCCATGTGGTGAATTCAATCCATAACCAAATAATGACATTACGTACGGGATGTGATGTCATACCTTAACTTGACGCCTTAGAACGTAAACTTCCTTCCGTTAAAAGAAAAACTTTCTTGTAGAGCTGTTCTCTCAAAGAACGTCTTTATGCCTTATCGTTGCCACTGTCTGCAACAAATTACTGTTCTTTAAATTCTACCTATACGAGTAGTATTTGTATTAACAATTGCCCCAGCAGCCTCTCCCTGTAACCCGCAATGTTGGACTCCGCCAGTTCCTCGTTGCACAGAAATGCATCAAAGAGTCCGCTGACTTCAGATAGCTCCTGCAGCTTGCGAGGTGTAACACAGGGAGAAAATGCTTATTGCGAGCGCCCGCGCACGGTGTTCAAGAGGAATTCTTAACCCTCTAAAGGCTGTCTGTCGGGTAAATTTTTGCTGGCCCTCCTCAGAACAGTCATTATTTATCATATTTTTCTGTCTCATATCCTGTGAGATGTGCAACACTGTCTGATAAATAGTATGCGTATATATACATATGGCCGGTCACGGTAGCCGAGCGGTCTAAGGCATGCACTGTCTTCGCTCGCTCGGAAGCCGTGATCGTTGGTTCGAATCCCACTCAGGGCATGGATGTTTGTGTGCGTTTTTCTGTGTTTGTCTACAGGTAGAGGCCTTGCGACGAGCTGATCATTCGCCCAAGGAGTCCTACCATATGTGTAAGATCTAGTAAACCGAAGTGAAACCGAGAGTTTCATGGAGGTAGGCCTAGGCCAAAATTGGGGCTGTAGCGCCACAGGAAAAATATATACATATACTGTATATACCACCGCTTTCACAAAAGTCCGATATTTGATTGTATCCTGAGCCACTTCAATCCTGTCCACCGCTTACCATCCTATTTGCAAAATTCGCGTTAATAATGAAGAATGACGTCTTCTGGGATGTGGCGCCCTGTAGATATTGTGTAAACCGACGTTTCGGAGGAACGTATCGCCTCCATCTTTAGGCGATAAGTTCCTTCGAAACGTATCTTCGCACAATATCTACAGGGCGCCACAGCCCAGACGACGGCATTCTTCATAATCACGGCTGTGTAAACCTCAACTCTTACGTCGTGTTACTAATACCCGCCCATCAGCGCCTTAGACGAGAAATAGCTCTCATTGTGCGGCGACCGACCATGTTGGGGGGATGGTGCAGAAGAATGAAGAATCAATAATTCATAGTTGTTACTGCAGACAAATTACGCACAGTAGGACGGACAGACAGAAGGAAACAATGGGGAGCAGAGGAATGCGTAACTTCAAGCCGTGGGCTGGATATCGAGCTGCAGCCTGTTTCGGCAGGCACAGTAAAACCGAGCCGAATTTCTCACTGCACTCTCCCTGGAAGTCCACCCTAAAATAACTCGCCATTGATCCAACCTCGTTTGCAATTCGGCAGTCACTTCTACCACAGATGTAAAATGTCGGGGATTATACGTGAGTGGCGAGTGTCCTCAAAATGTGTTTATATTTTCGTGGAAACACAATTCATTGCGAGAGGTTTAATCATCGTGTTACATAAGGGGCCGGATTATTTCGTGAACAGCTCAACGCCTATTATGAAAAACAATCAAATTATAACTGTAATACATTTTAAATCGAATTAATAAATTACCCAGCCAATCATTATTAATTATAAGATTAAATTATCCCATTAAAATTGTTTAATAGAGTTCTATTCCATAGAATTACGGAGTTGGAATCCTTAGGATGGAAGGGAAGGGGGAATTAGTTAATCGCATGATTAAAAAATTATTGAATAAGCGGGAAAACAAACATGCTACGAGCAAGATTCGGACCAGCGATTCCAATATTTGATCTTTCTAGGATACGAGATTCTCTAAACGTGAGAGTTTAAATAGACGTATATAATTTTCTAAAATCTACACTACGAAAACCCTCAGGCAACATAGCCGATTTTGGGGCCGAGAATCTAATCCTGGACTTAAGAACACGAGACAGCAGTGCTGATCACACGTCGAACAGCGAACCTTAGCTGAAGGACCGGACGGAACTGTGTATGTTAGGTACTTACCCGTCCTGTAGCCGGCATTGGACAGATATGTGGCGAAGGACCGCGTCTCGTGGGTTGCCTGCCACTGGGCGCTGGAACAATTGTCGTTGTTGGTGAACACCTCGTGGTTGTGAACATACATGCCAGTGAGCAAGGAGCTGCGCGACGGGCAGCACATTGGGGTCGTGACGTATGCGTGACGAAACTCGGCACCGCCGTCCCTTAGCAGTCGCAGAGTTCGAGGCATGAAGTTGAGCGAACCTGTACAAGATTGCATTGCCTTCATTCTGGACAAAACGTATATGTAAAATAATGAAACAAATCTAGTGTAGTTACAAAAATGAATCGACAACTAATATAAAATATAGTTAAATGGGTATAAAATATTCTGGTATAAATTCTTAATTACGATCGTAAAATATTAATTATAAATAAAAATATGATATGCAGACAACTAGACTACAAGTCAATAAGGAAGAATGTTAATTAACAGTTAAATAAATACAAGTACTCATGGAGCTGAGCACTTCTTGAGAAGCCGCCAGTTGTGCAGCCATTCAAGAACTTACCAGCATTTTATGGAACCCGAAGGTTCATTACCGTATTCACATAAGCCCTCCGCTGGTCCCTATCCTGAGCCAATCCATACCATCCCATCCTATCTCTCTAAGATCCATTTTAATATTATACATCCACCTACGTACATCTTGCCTTCCCAATGGTCTCTTTCCTTCTGGCTTTCTCACCAATATCCTCTATGCATTCCTCTTCATCCCATTCGTGCTACATGCACTGCCAATCTCATCCTCTTCGACTTGCTCATTCGAATTATACATTGCATAGAGTACAAGTGCTGAAGCTCCTCATTATGCAGTTTTCTCCAACCTCTTGTCACCTCCTCTGTCTTCGGTGCAAATATTCTCCTCAACAACCTGCTCTCAAACATCCTCAGTCTATGTTCCTCCCTTAATGTCACAAACCAAGTTTCACACCAATACAAAACCACGGGCAAAATTATAGTTTTATATATTCTAATTCTTGTTTTTTAGACAACAGACGATAAGGCTCTGGACTGAATGGTAGCAAGCATTTCCCGAGTTCAATATCCACTTAATTTCCTCCTCAATCATGTTTTGATTTGTTATATAGTTCCCAAATATCTGAACTGTGTCACATTTTAAAAACATCTCTTAGCTATGTTTATAATAGATAGATACAGATATTAACAACTACGTCATCGTCAAATTTACAAACTAACATTTTAAAAACTTAGAAGTTTAATTGCTAACGAAATAACCAAATAAAAACAGAACTGGCTTCGTATATTTTGTCAGTTTGGGGTAAATTTTTTCTATATGTATTATTATCATTATCATTATCCTCATTAGCATCATTGACAGAACAGATCTTTTCGAGCCATATCCTTCCTTACAAGATACTGTCAGGGTTCCGATCCGGCTTTCATTTCTTTGGATTTCGCAACAATAATATTTTAGAGCAAGGTTGTCAACCTTGAGTTCAGCCCCACATCAGGAGGACAGATCTCTGTATTTATGTCCTCCATTGACCGGGTAGCCCAGTTATACCACCAGGCACCGGGTTCCCCTTTTGTCACCTTCTATGACGCGCAGAGATACGGTGGAGTTATTCTAACCCGCCACAACACGGGGTAAAGTTGTCCCTGTGCTTAACCAATTAAGCACTACGCCATGAAGGCGTATTGGGGAGTGGACGTATAGATTCCACTTTTCTTGATCTGGGCACTACTTGGAGGTGAGTGGTTAGTTTCACGCCCCGGTCGCTTTACCCCAGAGTAAAAAGCCCCCGGTGTCCATTGCATAGGAGTCGGGGACTATACATATTATACGGGTAAGTTAATGCCTGATGGGAGTGTAAGGGCAGAGGGTCTGGTGCCATATTTCTTGTACCAGGCGTTTAGGTCCCAGTGCTCTCCGTCAACTAAACTGCAAACGATATCGTACGTGCATCCAGGCTCTGGCTTATAGACGTAAGACCGCTTGTAACTATTTTAAACATGCTCAATCTTGATAGCAATTTATCTGACTAAAAATTTCCAGGTACTGTAGAATTCAACAATCCTAAACCAACCTTACCAAACAGAGTTTAGCCCATTGTCATCACAGCGTACATCAAAGGAAGACTAAAATAATAAACATACATGTTAAATGGACTATTATTCTTTCTACGAGTAAGGCTCCAGTGTTCTATTTCCATTAAATTTTCCAACCGAAATCATTTATGAAGAGTGCAGTCTAGGCCGCGCCATAGCTCAAGCGGTTAGTAGCTGGCTCCCCACAGCGGCGGCCTGGGTTCGATCCCGGTTCTGGTAAAGTGGGATTTGTGGTGGACAAAGTGGCGCTGGGGCAGGTTTTCTCCGAGTACTTCGGTTTCCCCTGCCGATCTTCATTCCACCAATTGCTCCACAATCACCCTCACTTATCATCTGGGGCTGGTACAACAGGCCAGAAGTGGCCGCAGTATGAGGGACTTAGTCCCACCCCACTAGCAATCAAACAAAAGACTGCATGCAGTCTGCCATGTAGTTCCATCTCTCAGACCTTCACGGCGTTAAAGCCCAGAAGGCTGTACTCTTCACAGTCACCGGCGTGACAACCTCAGACCCAACAAAGCAATTTATACACTTCGTATTTTCCTTTTGCACGCTACATGCAACTGATCCTTCTATCTTTAGTCGCAACTGCGATTTCCGCGTCGTCCAGAACCAAACCAGCAGAATGTTACTGATAACACGGACTGTTCAATCTCTACAGTAGAATGATGTCATAACACCAAATTCCCGTCTCCTCTCCTTCAGGCGCATGCAAGCTAACCGGGTGTGTTAAAACAGCGACATCGCCCCTTCTGGAGGTACCCGGTTCGAATTATACGACAGTCGTGTATCCCGAATGATGTTTTCTTGCTTTTCCTCAGTTCCTATAAGCAGAAGGTGTAGAAGACGATTAAAGAAATACGTCTTCGTTCCTTATACCCCCGTATTAGTTGTTTATCATCATCAGCATCATACATTATCCAACACTAGATAACGAAAGCAATTGATATGGCGTCATAAAATAATGGAAGAAACCATAAAGCAACTATCTGAAGGATTTTATTTGTGATGACAATAAAGTAGGATCACGTGGAGGCCGACTCTGTGGCCCATCCAGTCTCCTATCGAGCAGGACACGGCGACCAAGGCGTCAAGCTGACCTTTCACCTCTATCTAAGAGCCGAGGTTAAAACTGCCTTAAGATACCCCTCCATTTCCCCAGGCGAATTCATGGTATGGTGTTCCACTAAACAGAAGAATATCTTTACCTTTTACTTCGCAAGATGTTATATCCAGAAGACTATAAATGCCATTTAAGTGCTCAAGTACGAGTATCTGTCTTTGTTAGTTTTATTAAGTGGCTTTCATTACTTTGAAACTACAGAAAACTGTAGGCTCACAATGAACTAGGTTTTCCACTTATCGCACCTGAAACCTTGTCTGCGTTTGATTTCAGTCCGTACACATTGCGAACGAACTACTGTCTGACGGTCGGTTGTGAGTGCTTGGCTTCAAGATTTCGCATTGTCTGCTCATTGTGAACAGGTTCTCCAACTGCACTCAACGCTTTTCTCTGTTTATACCCCGCTTCATAGACGCTGGAACGAAGCATTAATATCCCGTTCGTTAATCTTCAGTGAGGTATGCCTTCTGAAGTGCTCTTAAGTTGAGCTGTGCCCGAGTGCAACGTACCGTGAAGATACAGCCAACAACTGCGTCTCGTGACAATGAATGGGCTGTGTCAATTATTCACAATGTTTGTGAACCATTCAACAGATATAAAGCAGCACCAAGGCGTATCTGTTTGTAAACAGATCTGTGAAAATAATCCTGCAAGAATTCTCCAGGATTTAATCTGTTTGCACACGGATCTGCAAAAATAATTCTGAAAGGTCTCGAAGACTTTTTTCTAGAAGTCTAAAAATAATATTTTTATTTTCAATTCCCACAAGTCTTAAGAAAACGAAGCATTATCCTTTTCTTCTAAAGGTCCATAACGACAATTTGCCCTTTGTGCGGTATATTCAGAATATGATGAAATTTCCTTTGGATAACAATTTATTAAACTTTTAAAGCAAAAATATCGGCTTAATTTCTAAGGCTTTATGATAAAGATTTATTGCGTGATTACACTGCAAGTGCGTAGGGCAATGGCCAATGTTTGAGGCGTAGGCCTATGTACACACGACATTTCGGGCGTTAACTTTATTCTCGCCTCAAGGTAACCAGTAGCCACATCGACAGTGGCAGGGGTGGTGGTGTAGTGGCCTGATTCTTAATCTTAGAAGCCCTACTTTTTAGGAGGGTATTTAGAAGTGAAAGGAGGGCAAATAACAGTGACCACACATTAATAATATCTTAGAATATACGCTGATTTTATACAAATGTCGACACACTAAAACAAGAATGTCTTGTGTCAGCTGCGAGTTGTTCTCAAATTGAAATTAATTCACCCATTCCTGACATCTCACACACTCGGATAGGGAGGCTCATGGAACGCCTCCAAAAAAAAAGTGGTTACTGCGTTTCAGCATTTCAAATCTATTGCGCAGAACATGTCGCTTGTCGCGATTGGCCTTCAGTGGGTATTCCACTGTTAATTAAATACTGTGAATGCCTTCTAGCAAAATGTTCAGAGTTACGATGGCACGTGGAGATTTTAGATCAGAAGGAGGAGGGGAGGAGACTTAAAAATTAAGAACTTTCAGTCATCAGAATTTGATGATCAGTAGTCTAGCCCGTAGGTGACGTAGCAAAACCTAGAGCGGGCAGAAGACAAGCTTTACTGCCGAAACTTCACGTGCTCATCAGAATACAGTTATTGCTGTCGTAAACTTAAGCAGTTAGTCCTGCAGACCTGAGTACTTCCTTGAACGTCGCTGTAGTACAGATGAACTCACAAGTGAACATAACAATTGGCAGTGTGTTTGGAAAACACTGCTGTTTCAAAGCGGACGGAGCTGGGATCATCAAATCCCAGTTTTGGTAGACTTATAGGGAGTTTCATGCTAAATCCCAAGTTCTACCTCTTACCTAGCTCAACATCCTGATCGTCTGTCAGTATGAGTATAATGTTTGGCTTTCTTTCCTTAGGAATCTCATAGTGCTGCACAGTAATCTGTTGTTTCTTCAGCTTCCCTCCTCGGCGCTGCGTGTGCAATTCTGCAGCAGCACTGGCTCCGCGTCTCTGAGGTGCGAACACGTCATCGGTTGACACAAGATCTTCCTGCGGCTGTTGATGACGCACATGTGTTAGGCGTCTGGATGAACCGACGCCCACTGCGATAAGCCAGAATGCGACGGCCGCTACCAATGGTGTGACCTCACGCGCCATGATGCTCGGTCGCTGGTAGTTTCAAAGGACAGCACGTGACATGGTGACGTGGTGAGCGACCTACAACAATAGCAAGAAATATTATGTTAGCAACAATAGGGCCCTTGGACATCGCTTCTGCGGGGAATAGGTTTCGTGTATCGTGCTATCCTGAGTATGTAGACGCCTTGAGATAAAACGGTCCCCAGTCAAAGGAGTCTTTACCAGATGTCTAAAGGATTCACTGTTTCACAGCGAATTCCGATGCTATTCTTACAGCATCAGTAAAGCGAAAATCTTTTAAAGAACGCAAAGATACGTGAAGTTCAATTAGGCCCTTAAATGGAATTAAATAGATTATAACCTACGACATGCCTGTGGAAAATGAATTTGAGCTGTTGGCCAGAATACGTGTTGCATGTGACATGATCCGTGAGACACCTCGAATATTTGAAAGGGTGCGCTAAAGTTTCTTTCGTCGACGTAACGCATGCATTGAAAATGGAGGGCATCAATTCCAACATCTACTCTAGGAGGTGAGTCTTAAGAGTTTGGAAGGGGTAATATGCCTGTGCATGCTCTTCGACATTGAGGTGCCAAGTTTAACCGAAATGATTTTAAATGCCGCCCTAGCGCTGCTATTTTACGTTTTCGGACATGGGTTCCTATTTCAAAGTTCTTTTATAGGGAACCCTCAGTACGCTCCTGAAGTATGGCACAAAACTCCTGGGACACTCTGTATAGTCCTGATAGCAAGGTGGTCTCACAAACCTCAAATATGAAGGGGAGGGGCAGAAACGGCAAGGTGAGTCTAACAAAATTTGTGAGGGGATACACATACAGACATCAAAGTGTTCTCGTAAGCCTCCATTTATATTTTTAAAAATAAGGAAAGTAGGCTAAAAGGACCCCGAAGGTGATGCCGATATATTCCTCCCAGACGTCGGTTGACTGCCACGCGACTATGCGGCGTTATATGAGAGAATACATAACTCTTCCTACTTACCCCTGTGAGAGCCTCAGAATCATGAGCAACATCATTTACAGATGTAAACATCTTACCGATTTCTTGAAAGTTTGTAATAATTGCGCAACTTGTAAGAGATGTTTCCTAAGACAGGCTTCGTCGAACAACAGGAATTTCCTTCTGTAAAGTTACCTACTCAGAGTGTTCCAACCCCCCACATGTGTTTTCCGTGATCTTGCGATATGTCTGTGAAAGTTGATGGACCAGTTCTGATTTTACTCATTATCCTGGTTATACCACCACCGGAACGTACTTAGAGACATCCACAATACTTAAAAGGTACTTTATGCGTTCTCTGAGGGGAGTGTATGAAATTAGCTTATAAGAGGGACGCTGCATTTGTCTATCCGTTTGGATGCCCATTTATTTTATCTCCGAAACTACTGAACGTTTTTTGTTGTTATTTGGTATCTGAATGGAAGCGCCTACACTAAAATTTGCCGGAGGAAGTTTAATTTTTATTTATATCGGGACAATGAAACCCTTACATTCCTGATGCTCGTAGTGAATTTTATCAACGTTGTATTAAGCGGCTCATTGTAGAGCTACACAAATTTGATAAATAGTAAAAAAGGTAAAGTTATCCGTGTAACAGGCCGTAAAGGTCCATAGGGTTGTGAGAGGTTGAGACTCCCACATTTTGTAGACAATCGGCTCACAGATGACGGCGCGATTGTCAGCCTTACGCGCCGACCGCCCTTTACCCCCAGGAACATTCCTAGCGCTCATTTCTGTTAGAGGCTGAATCGATCCCAGGGCCATGGTACAGTTCGAAAGATTAGGTCAATTAAAAAAATCCAATGACCTCATCGGGATTCGAACCCGCGACCTTCCGGCTTGTAGCATAATGCCTCAACTAATTACGCTACCGCGTGTTCACAGTGATAAACAGTAAAAACCATAAATATGTTACAGACCTAATTAAGATTCAAAACTATCGTATGTAATGTTTTTCGATGGGATGAAAATTATGCTGACTCAGAAAGAAACAAGAAGTTCTAGGAAGAAATAATTGCCTACTTTCCTTTGATCGCATAGACAACGAAGCCTCCATCAATTCTTCGTTGCCGCGGGAACGTCTTTACCAAGTTCTTACCTAGAAATGACAGGGGGATACACATACAGACACACCGACGGATGAGAAGGATTTAGGAAGTACGCCGCTGCGATGGGCTCAGGCGCCATGACTGCCACACCAAGTTTCATGCAGACTGATTCCGGCATTCAAAAGTTGATAAGGGGGATTCACAGAGACAGACAGAATGGAGATTGCATAAGCAAGCCTACTTTCCTTTCTTCAAAATTAGGAAAGAAGGTTAAAAATGTGGTCACTTATACCTTCACAACATAATATAGGTTATTTTGAATTTGCAACGATGCGGAACAGAGACTGAGGGTGTTTAGAACAGGGTGTTGAGAATATTTGAAACAAAGAGAGATGAAGTGACTGGGGTTTTTAGAAAACTGCACAATCAGGAGCTTCATAAATTGTACTCTTCTCCAAGTATAATTAGAATGATCAAGTCAAGGAGGATGAGGTGGACAGGGCATGTAGCACGAATGGGGGAGACGAGGAATGCATATATGATATTGGTGGGAAAGCCAGAAGGAAAGAGACCGCTGGGAAGACCAAGGAGTAGGTGGGTGGACAATATTAAAATGAATCTTAAGGAGCGTCCACATTACTCGTGCTCGCCAGGCTTCGGCGCGTGAGGATCCGTATATTTACGCGTAATGTGTAGAGTCTGTAGTCGTATTTTAATTTATTGGCTATAGTTTTTAAATTAAAAATTAAAAATTTGCTTGTCTCGTGACTTGTCATATCGTCCACATTACTCGCGAGCATAGCGAGTCACACGAGCACGAGCACGAGTAATGTGGACGCGCCTTTAGAGAGACAGGATGGAATGGTATGAATTGGATGGATCTGGCTCTGGACAGAGACCAGTAGAGGGCTCTTGTGAACACAGTAATGAACCTTCGGGTTCCATAAAATGCTGGGAAATTCTTGAGTAGCTGCAGAATTGGCCGCTCCTCAAGAAGGGTTCAGCTCCGAGAGTGAGTTCGCCTTTCTTTTCAGAACGCACTTCTTTAAAGTAGGATATGAAACTGACACAAAAGATTTTTATACGGAGCCGACGTAGCGTAGTCTGTATAGCGACTGGCTACGGGCTGGACGACTAAGGGGTGGTGTTCGAGTCCCGGTAGGGCAAACAATTTTCTCTCCTCCAAATTTTCCAGACCGGCCTGGGGTCCACCGAACCTCCTATCCAATGGGTACCGGGGGTAAAGCGGCGGGGGCCTGAAGCTGACCACTCACTTCCAGCTACTGCCGAGGTCAAGAGAATGTGAATCTATACATCCACTCCCACGTACACCTTCATGGTGTAGTGCTTAATTAGTTAAGCACAAGGACATCTTTACCTTTACCTTTACGTTTCTATAAGAAATAAATGAACACCAATGGCAATGAAGTACGAAACATTACAAAGACTGCATTTGCAAAACGGACCTGTACCTAAGTGTGATCGATTGAAGCACACTTTCCTCTACACTCGTTTCCTTCCTGTTGCCTGATAAGGACTGATACAAATTTGGCTTTCGCTCGTATGCATTCATGATGGATTGTGAATTTATATAAGGCAAACTGATGTTCGAATCCCCGAAATCAGAGGATCCGGTAGGCGCGCTGTAGGCTTATGTAACACTAAGGCGCAATAACTCATGTGGTAATGACGCATTGTCTCCATTTCATGGTATTGCTCAATCCTTCACACACACACACACACACATTCTCATGACTGGATATTTTATTCATAAGCATGAAGACGAGATTCGGAATATGCTACTCCTTACCGTTTTGTCAGCCTATTTTCCTTATTTTGAAAAAATAAGACTAAGCTCATGAGATATCCCTACTGTGTGTCTGTGAGTCCCCCCTTATTAACTTTAGACTGCTTGAACCAATCTTTATGAAACTTGACATGGACGGTACCTGAGCCCGTCTCAACGGCGTACTTCATAAATCCCCACCCATTAGTCTGCGTGTCTGTATGTGTATCCCTCCTCCGCTCCTGCGCAAAGGCTCGGTAAACATGGCCCACGCAACAATAAAAGAAATACTGGATGCGTATGCCTGTGTATCCCCTTGTAGTGGCTGGCTATTAATTCGGTAAAGACGTTCCCGTGGCAACAAAGAATTGTTGGAAGCGTCGCTTTCTATGCGATCCGTGCCGTATCAAAGGAAAGTAGGCAATCAGCTCTTCCAGGAACTTCTTGCTTTTTCCTTATTTAACCAACTTTTGCGGTGTTTCCATAATACGGTATATGCTGTCTTACTGAGTATGTTATTAGCCTGCTGTTGTAATTACGTACTATGTTATTACTAAAAATTCCTCAGCGAAGTAACTAACAACGGCCAGGGCTGTTGTAAATTGATTCCGATCATGGGAAGAGAGGCATCGTCCTCCATTCCATTGAATACCAGTAGCTCTGTCTTTGGCAGCAAAGCGGTCGTAGCGAGAAGCTCACAACTTACCGGCATGTCCTATACACCATCATGGCGTGCTGCCTAAGCACAGGGATAACTGAGAGCTACGTTTACCTCATTTCACTACATATAGTGAGACATTACGCGAGCAGGCACTCGGGTCAGGAGAGCCGGGCGCTTCTCTCCTGAACAGGTCCGAAGCATTACGCATAACGCAACAAGTTACCTGCTTCAGATTGGTTTCTTGTTTCGCTTATTCTTCGATCCTGCAGATGGAAGTGACATATTCCTCCAAAAAGTCCTTTGATTTTCAACGGACTACACGACGTACATCCCAGAAGACAGAACTCTTCCTGGCCCATAAGTTCCCTTCGCTGAACGCTGTCTTCAAATCTCACTAAAAGCACCAGTGTTTATTCATTTGCCTTCCTTTTCGAATGCCATAAATGCCTTGCAGCAGAAAGTTCCATGCACGTCTGAACTAATGAAATAAATTGCTATATCACAGAGTCCTTCAAGATATGAGGAATATAGCTGCAATAGACCAAGATTTATGTACCAGGA